CCGCGGGCTCCCTCCTCACACTGCTCAGCACGCCGGGAAGGTCCTTCTCCCCATCCTCACACGTCGTGATACCACCCCACGCTGTCCCCATGCTATTCTGTTCGGATCCCCATTGCATCCTATCCCATCCTCTCCCTGTCCCGTCTCCTTCTGATCCCATCACCTCCTGTCTACAAGCTGTACTTATCCCATCCCATCCTTAACTCATTCCATCCTTGTCCCTGTCTAACTCCCAACACATTTCACCCTGTCCCTGTGCCATTTCTGTCCCCAATCCCCTTCTCATCATGTCCTCTTCCTATCTCATCCCACTCTTTTCCCATCCTACTCGATCCAATTCTGATCCCATTTCCTGCCCATCGCATCCCACACCCTCTCTATCCCATTCCTATTGCATGTTGTTCCATCTGATCCTAACCTGATCCCATTCCCATCCTCCAATCTGATGCTACCCCATTCTCCTTGTGTACCATCCTGCCCTGCCCATACCACACCACCTTGATCCGCCACACACATGATCTCCACCTTACCCCATTCCCACTCTGAGCACCTGCTCTCATCCCCCAGCTCCCTGCCCTAGAGGGGAATCCCCCAGCTCCCTACTCTCCAGGAGGGGCAGGCCTGACACCCCCTCCCAGGACACCACCCTCCTACCCCACCAGCTGCAGCTGTGACGGCTCCTCATCCTGCCTGCCTGTGGGCATTTAAGAGCCAGGGGCAGCCCAGGCAAGCATGTGCTGGGCAGGATGGCTACGGGAGAGCAGGTGGGTGCTCACCCTCTGAGCTGGGGAGGCAGGCCTAGGCAGCCCTGCTATCTCTTGGGGCTCCTAGTGTGAGCATGGCTGAGGGTCTGCAGGCTGCCTGCTAGGGTGGCCATAGGGCTCCTCAGGGCTGTTCCTTCTTCCCCAGCAGAGGCAGGAGAAGCGGCGCCGGCGCAGGGCTCGGCAGCAAGAGCTGCTCCCAGAAGAGGTCCTGGACAAGCACCCCTTGCAGAACAGGTATGGGGAGCCCAGCCATGGGCAGCCTCTCCCAGCACCTAGAGGGGTGTGCTGGGTCTGGAGGGGGTTTCCAGCATGGCTGAACACTCTCTCCCTCCCCAGATGGGCACTGTGGTTTTTCAAGAATGACAAGAGTAAGATGTGGCAGGCAAACCTGCGCCTCGTCACCAAATTCAGCACTGTGGAGGACTTCTGGGCGTGAGTGTCCCTTCTGGAGGTGTTCTGGTGGGGAGGTCTGGGCCAGAGGAGGGTGCTGGAGGTCCCCGAGGCACCTCTTCTCATCTGCTTCTGTGTCTCCACCTGGTACAGGTTGTACAGCCACATTCAGCCTGCCAGCAAGCTCTCATCTGGCTGTGACTATTCCCTCTTCAAGGTATGATACCCCATGCTCACAGTCCCCACCATGCCCAGCATTACAGGGGCACACTGAGTGCTGGTGGGGCTGGCAGGATGCCCTGGCTGTAAGGTGGGAGGAGAAATCCAGCTGGATATTCACAGCTTCCAGAGCCAGCTTTGACCCAGTGCTTGGTACCCCTGACCATCCCCTTGCCTGTCCCTAGGACGGGATCGAACCCATGTGGGAGGACAGCCAGAACAAGCGTGGTGGGCGCTGGCTCGTCACCCTGTCCAAGCAGCAGCGGCACACTGAGCTGGACCATTTCTGGCTGGATACGGTGAGTGCAGCCCTGCTCGGGCTGGCCTGGGGGTTCTGACTGTGGCACTCCCCCTGCTCCAGGGCTGAGCCCCAGCAGGGACTGTCCTGAGCTCCTTTCGTCCTGGCAGCTGCTGTGCCTCATTGGGGAGATGTTTGATGAGTACAGCGACGAGGTGTGCGGGGCTGTCATCAACATTCGCACCAAGGGGGACAAGATTGCCATCTGGACCCGGGAAGCGGAAAACCAAGAAGGGGTCACCCACATTGGGTAATGCAGTGTCAAGGGAGGCTGTTACAGGGCTAGTTTTGGGGGGGAATGAGGTCTCTGGGCAGGGAGCCAGCGGCAGAAGTGCTGCCCTGTTCATGCACCCCTTTCCTTCCGGCAGGCGTGTCTACAAGGAGCACCTGGGCCTGTCACAGAAGGTGACCATTGGGTACCAGGCCCACGCAGACACAGCCACCAAGAGCAGCTCCCTCCCCAACGCCAAGTTTGTGCTGTGATTGGGGGGGTAGCAGTGAGCTCCTTGTGGGGTCCCCAAGTACTGTCTCAGAATGAATGACTGCATCTGAGTATGGTCTGTGTCTCTAGGGCTCTGGAAATTTGGGATGGCTCTTGTTTGGGGATGGGGAAGGGGATGATGTGTTGGCCCCCCACCCCCTTTCTGGGTGAGCAGGGCTGGGAGCACATCACTGTGGCATGGGGCATGTTCCCCTGCCTCCTCTAGTGCCTGGGACCAGTGCCCCTCTCCTTGGGGCTGTGGGGGTGTTTCTCTGCTCTGGGGGACCCTGGACCCTAGATAGACCCCAGGATGATGCTGGGTTCTGTCTTCCCCTGGCTGAGGCACAGGCACAGCTCACTGCCCTGTAAGCCTGGGCATGGGAGGGAGTGCTGGAGCTCAGCTCAGCCTGGTGAGCTGGTTCCCATCTCTCCTGAGCCCTGCACATCTTCTTCCCAGGAAGATGATCTCCCCAGCTGAGGGCTGTCAGTATCCCAGCAGGGTGGGTGCTGGGGCTGCAGTACAGCATTGTCCCCGTGCTGCATCACCTCCCACAGACACCTGCAGCACAGGTGGTACAAAGTTGTTTGCTTCCCAAGGCTTTACTGGTGCCAGACCTACATGTTCACAGCCTCAGTCTGTTGAGCCCTGACTTTGCTGGCTCCTCCTTTCTGCTGTCCCTCCCTGTCCTGGACCCTGGCTGCAGAGAGGCCACTGTATTCCCTTCCAGATTCAGCCCAGCCTGCACTCTGTCCTTCAGTCTCTTATTTGTGTGTTTGATTGTTGGATCTGTCCTCCTTCTCTGCCTAGTCAGGTTCTCGAGGTGGAGCTGTCTGCTCACCTCCTGACAGTGCTGCCTGCAGCTCTGCCCTCACTGCAGCTCTGATGCAGGAGGAGCATCTTCCATCCCCTCCAGCAACCCTCCGTGTCAGCCTAGGGTTACACCTTATCCAGGGCAGCACGTCTAGCCCATCTGTGCCTCCCCATGAGCCCAGAGTCAGGGTCACTCATCCCCCATGGTGCTGTGTCAGCACTACTCTGTCTGAAGCCAGGCTCTGCAGAGAGCTGGTCCCTCAGAAGGACGAAGTATCAACCACATCTGTGCTCTTGGAGTTGCTTGAGACCTGTCTAGTCACAGCTTGGCAGGCAGCTGGTGCAGCTGTGACCTCTGGAGTCTCAGCTGCCTGCAGTGCAGCCCATGGGGTTGAGCTTGCTGAGCCCTGCACTGCCCTGGGTTGCTGCTGTGGCTGCATAGAGCCGTGTCCTCAGGACTCAGCTGCCCTTTTCCAGGGGACAGCAGCAGGGACTCCAGGGCACCTCCCCTGGGGAAGCTATGCCAGGGCTCTGCCTGTCCTCCACCACCCCACATTGCCTTTGTGCCAGGCGGAAGATGCCGCTAAGAGGGTGAAGACAGGAGCTCGTTCCTGTCAGGCAGCGTGCCAGGCCGTATCCCTGTGTCCTTGCATCACGTGCTGTCGTTCGGTCACTTCTCTCTGCAGGTGTAGGAGCGGGGCAGGACCCCTCTACCCTTCCCCATAGGACAACTGGGCTGGAGGTGCTGCAGGCAGCAGGAGCAGGGTGAGGGGACAGTGTGGGGAGAAAGGCAGCACCCCCGACTTGGGATGCCTGCAGGCGAGGGAGCGAGGGTCGGCTCTGCCTGCCCTGGCCGGAGGTCCCGCACTGATGGTGTGTGCCGGCAGCCTGGATGCTGCCTGCGCTGCCTGTACCGCCGGTCCCTCGCCACGCGATGGTGCCGCTCGCCCGGCCTTGGCCAGCTCCGGCACGGCAGGGCTGGCAGCCTGCCCTGCCTGCGGTGGGGTCCCTGCCTGGCCGGCGGTAGGGTACACCATGGCTGCAGTGGGGTGACAGAGCTATCCCAGGTCCCCGGAGGAGAGGCAGGCAGAGCCACATGGGGTAACAAGGCTGAAGCTGGAGGAGAGGGAGCCGAGACCCCCTTAAAACACACCATTAATGCTCCTCCCCAGCAGTGACAGAATGTAGTGTATGAGACCCAGGGCTGCCTGTCCCTCTGTCCCTTTAAGCCACTGCACTGCCCCACCTGGCCCTCCCATAACCCCCCACCTGCCTCTGGGGCTGAGCCCCCTGTTGTCTTTGTCCCCTTACCCCAATGCTGGGGGCAGTAAGGGCATTGTTCTCATGGGGCACCCCAAACCCTGTCACCCAGGGAGGTCAAGGTTAACTGGAGTGGGGGAGCAGAGGCTGCTATAGTGCCATGGTTCATCGCCATTCTCGTGCAGCCACGGTGGGATTTCATTTGACTGGAAAAAATAATAGGAGCCATTTATCTCCATGGCTTTATGGGCTCCTAGCATCCCCACAGCCCAGCCAGGCTGGGAGGCTGGCAGTGCCCACTCAGAGCCCACCCTCTGGAGACACAATGACTTTCATCCTTGAGTCCTGCACTCCACGGTCCCTCTCTGAGGGCCAGAAGCTGCCGGGGGGCACTTGGGGACCCCCCCGGGTGGGCACAGTGGTTGCCAGGAGCCACCCAGTGAGCACACCAGTGCCAGGGCTGCCCCTGGCCTGTCTCATGCTGGGTAGCTGTCCCAGCTGGCAGCCAAGCTGGCAGCCCTGTCAATAATAATAATTAAAAATTAATACTAATCAAAAGGGAGAGGCAGATGGCAGCAGACATGCGGCAGGGCTGCAGGTGGGGGGTTGCACTGGCGACAGAGGGGCCTGCAAGGACAGGGGTGGGGGGAGCAGGAGTGCTGTGGGGTCTGGTGGGGAGAGTGGTGCAGAGTGTGGGACTCATATGAAACAACAGAGATGGGGGATGTAGGGCTGCAGTTGCTGTGGAGCACAGCAGGAGTGGGGAGAGAAGCACAGCTCTGGGCTGGTGCAGGGCTGGAGATCCATGTCCCACTCTCTGGGCAGGTGGAGTGGGATGGTGGTGCTGGGTGCTTCTACAGGGTCACTTTGCCAGCAGCTGGCGTGCAGCCGTGGCCAGGCACTGCCAGTCCAACTTCTCCCTGAGCCACTGGCTCTGTCAGCAAGGACAAATCCTGCCTCCTGCCCTCAGCATGCGTCTGGTGCCAGGATGGGTGCAGGCACCCATTCTGTTACAACCAGTGGGTGCTGCAGGGTTAAAATCCCCCAAATAACTGGGGAAGGAGCTGCTGGCTCCGTGCAGGGTGTGTGGGCCGGGGAAGAACAGGCAGCGCTGGCTCACCGTGGGAGTGGGCAGGCAGTGCGGCTGCCGGCACTGGGGCTGTGTCACACTGTTCCTGCAGTGCCTGAGCCTGTCACCCAGCCAGGGGTCACAGGGATGCTCTGGGCCTTGCAGGAGGGATGTGTGCGTGGGGGGACCCCCATCCGTGGGTACCACCATCATCCTATGAGCATTCCTGGATTGGAGCCCCTCATGCCCTCCCTGCCCACCCTGCCAGGCCCTGGAAAGGATACAGACTGTGCTGGCCCTCCATCCAGAATCACCATGGCATGCAAGGAGAGGCACCCAGGGTGAGGGGTACCTACAGCGCACTGTTCCCATGACAACCTCCCGGGAGAGATAGCAGTCAGTGTGGGAGATGGGGGAGGTGAGGGGCTTGTGGACCCCTCCACACATGAGCTGCTGTGCCTGGCAGGACGCAGTGGGGCACAGCAGAGGGGCTGCACATGTGGGTCTTGCTCCCAGACTTGGGCTCTGCCTGCTCCATCCTGTTCCCTGCCTGCTGTCCCTGCAGTGTGGGGCAGGCAGGCATGGCAGTGCTGGTGCTGCCTACCCAGGCTGGGCTGCTGCTCTACAGCAATAGCTTTGCACAGGTTCTTTGCACAGCTGGGTTTGCACGGTGGGGAAGGGGTTAAGTGCCTGCAGGGTCCTTCCCAGTGCCAGCAGCAGAGGAGGGGAAGACAGGGACAGTATCTTCTGCCCTGCGCCTCAGGGAGCCTGTACCTGAGAAGGGTCCTTTGCTGTCACTTCTCATCTGGGTGGATACCAGGCTCTACAACACGGCTGAGCACTTTCCTTCCCCGCAGGGACGGGCTGGCACTTCTCGCTTGGCAGAGGCAGGCGGGGGGAGAGAGTGGGTGGGATGGGGACAGGAATGGGGATGGGGACAGCGTCGGGAGCTGTATGGACACAGACCTGCAGGCATAGCGGCAGCACGGGGCTGTGCAGGTGGCAGGCAGTGCCACCACCCCTGCGGGGTGTGTTCTGCTGGATCTACATCACGGTCCGGGTGCCCCCCAGCTGGCTGGCACGTGCCCACGGGGCCTTTTCCTGCCCCAGTTGCTGTGCCCGTGCTCTCTGTGCAGCCCCTGCCCGCAACCCCCTCCCTCGGCTCCCCTGGTGGATGCCACCAGCTCCAAGGGACCAACACAGATCCATTAGCACACCACCCCCTCATCCTCCCAGTGTGACACAGGGACCAGCCACTCTCCTGGTTCGCAGGGGAGCAGCTGTCAGCCCTGGGGTGCAGGGCACATGGCAGGCAGCACCACTGATGCCTGTCCTTTCCCTCCAGGCCCTGTGCACCCTGGTGTGCCCTTGCAAGGGGCTGGTGATGCTCCAGCTCACAGCCATCCCCTTCTGCGAGGCTGGGGGCTGCCAGGCTCCCCGCCAGGCTCCCTGCATGCCCCAAGCACCACGTTTCTGGCTGGGAGAGCTGGTGTTTCCCGGGCGGTCGATGCACCCATCGATCCCGCACAGCTCCGGCGGCTGCTCTCCCACCGCCCTGCTAATTAATTGTCTACTGCTGCTGCTGCTGCTGCTGCTGCGGGAGTGCCGGGCACCCGGGGCGCCTGGGCTGCCTGCACCCTTCCCTACCAGCACCCTGCCATGCCTGCACCCTGCCCTGCTGCCAGCTCACAGCTCCTACCCCATAAGTGGCCTGGAGCTGGCACCCACCTCTGTCACGGAGTGGGGGGGGTCTGTATCAGGCTAGGGAGGGGGCTGGCAGGCCCGGAGCAGGGTGAGAAGCACAAGGGGCTGAGCGGGAGTCTGGGAGGCAGCACATCTCTACTTGCAGCCCCCGCCGGCTGCCCATGTCCAAGACAACCTCCCACTGCTCACTAATGTGCCTGACCCAGCCTGCACCAGCCCCCAGCGAG